ATATATATATAGATATATGTAAACAATGAAAAAATCTAGAAATATATTATTAATTACTAGAAATACATTATTACATAAAAAATGTATACAAATATATACATAGACATTATATTACATAGTTATACATTTTTTAAAATATATATTTATTCTATATAATATAATAAATATAGCATAATCTATATATTTATTTATTTATTTAAATTATTTTATTTAATTTTAAAGGCGTTTAATATACATAATATATGTGTATTTTCTTATGTATTTTTTACAATATAATATAAACATACACACAGACATTGTATTAAATATTTATATTATTTGTATAATTTTCAGAATATATAATATAATGTTTATGTATATACACGCATTATACACAGACATTATATTATATATTTTTAAAATGACATACTATATAAATTATGTCTATATTGTATTATTATATATATTACATAATTGTGTATATATACATAAACTATAAAATATGAATATCTGAATTAAAAGTCATTCATAAATTATTTCAGTTTATCTGTGCATGTCATCAGTCAAATGATGCATTTTTGCACTGATCTAATTAGTTAAAGCTGTTTTGCTCTGTGATTGGTTTGTTTGTCTCGACTCTCTGGCCTGTGATTGGCCGAGTCTCTGTGCTGTGATAATTATCAGTGTGTATCTAATACATCAGCTTGATTAATATAATTAGAAGCCTAAAACAGCACAAATATGAAACAGGCCAGGCCTTTACTGCAGCATGTTGGCTGACGTGCTTCATCTCTACGGTATTTGCAATGAGAAAAAGCCAGATTCACTGCGATCCGGTCAGCATGGTTTCTTTCTCGGGCTGTCAATGTGAATGGAGTCGTGAAACGTCTCAGACGTTAAGCAGCAGCTGTATGAAAAGTGAAGGTGAGGGTGTTGACGTGATGGGAGTCTGTGTCTCTCACCTGTACAGGAGTAATCGTCGATGCGGATGAATCCGGTGTGGCAGATGCACATGAAGGAGCCGGCGGTGTTCACACACTGTGTGTTCTCACGGCAGTAGTGCCTCCCCTCCACACACTCATCGATATCTGCGCAGAAAACACCGCATCAGCTCAGCTCACACGCCGGGAGACTTTACGTGCTGCGGATGGATAACGCTGAGGGTTTGAAGACGTGAGTCAAAGTCTTTAACCACGGGGTGGATCAAATATTTACAGTGCATTCAATACAGGGTTATTATAGTTCACTCAAACTAAAACCTTAAGAAAGCATGTTTGTTACTTGAAATAAAATAAATGTTACCTGAGATAAAATAAAATATAAAAAAGCTATATTATAATATTTAGAAAAATTATAAATATTTATCAAATATATTAAAAATTATAATATAATATAGAAAAATTCAGCTAGTTGCTCGATGTACTAAAATAACTAAAACTTATTATATTCATAAAACTTAATAATACATTTAAAAAAAACAACAAAATTACTGAAACTTAAAATTAAAGTGTAAGCACAAAATATAAAAAAAATACAATCTAATTCAAAATATTAACAGAAACTATAATGACGCTAAAATAATACTGATGCAATATTTGTCAAGGCAAGGCAAGTTTATTTCTATAGTACAGTTTATATATGCAACGATGATCAGAAAAGATGCATAAGAAATAAAAATAACAAAA